AATAGAATATTAAAAGAAGACCTTTATTTAACTTATATTTAACTTTAATATATTACTGATATTTATTTTTTATTCTGCCCTATATCTGCCAAATAACTGTAGCATAACAGATTATAAATAGTTAAATAAAAGATAGCTATTAGAATATAAAAAACAGACTGTTATTTATCCTTTATGTATTTATTCAACCTGTATATACACAGGAATGCACAAATTATTTATAACTTGATTATCTTTTTAGCTATGCAAATACTATTAATTGCTTTGAGAATGTTGTTTAGCATTGTTTTAAAAGATAATTTGTTGAGCAGAATAGTCTTGGTCTAAAGTATTAGAATAATGTAAGCGTTAAAAGAAAATTAGAATAAGAACTGTGTTTGGTTAGTTTGTTTAAGATTAGCTATTAAGAATGGCACTGTTATACCAGTTACCTTTTTTATAAGAGTAGAATTAGCTTAATAGTAAACCTATTCTCATATGTTTTTTCTTTGAATAACAATAAAGTCTCTGATCAAGCAATAATAATAATAAAGTACTTGTTTTGGATCTTAATCAGTTTAAAATAGATTTATAAATTGTTAAATTTAAAAGCATTAAATCAGTAGGATAAAAGCTATTTCTACAGTATATATTTTTTTATTTAAAATAGAATTTTTTTATAAGCATTTCTGCATTTGTATTTAATATTATTTAATATTATTTACATGAAAAAAGAATTGCATAATAGATACTTTTTGAACACTTATATGCATTGAATAAAAAAAATCAGGTTAGAAAATTGTTTTATTAAGAACCCATTGTATGAACTATTGTGAATTTCAAAGTTTTGATTTATTATATCTGAAGTTTATTATAGAAAGATTCAATATTAACTATTATCTAATTTAAGAAACTTATTAGTAATTCAAAAATACTAAATTTGTAACTAAGCTCTATATATTATTCTCCAAAACTTCAAGAGTTACAAGAAATAACATTAATATTTGTGCTTGTATTTGCCAAATCTAATAAAACTCTAATACAAAAATTAAAGATCTTTATGTGTTATAAAGGTTTTAGATTGGCTATTAATTAATTTACAACTAAGATATTTCTGTATTTAGAAAGCAATTCTTTGAATCTATTATGAAATAAAAAACAGATGATCTTGAGATTCAGTTATTGAATAGAGTTTTGCAAATAATAAAATAAAAGGCAAAAAATAACAAATTTGCATTTTATTTTGACAATTTATCATAATAATATGATATAATTTATTTAACAATTGTTATTTATTATTGTTCAATCAAATGACTTTATTAAAAAATATATAGAAATTTGTTCATTATGTTTACAGACTCTAGTTTAAGATTTTACCCTTTTATAATACATTACTATTCCAATTAAACAATTTTAATCCATTACAAAGATATTTTAAAACTTATACTAATAGCCTTAACAAAACATCAGTCCAAACCAATAATTTCTAAGCTAAGCTAGAGAAACAATTCATAAATTCTATCTTACAAATACTAAATTTTGTGTAAAAAAGACTTAGTAAAAGATGGTATAACTATAAAAAAGAATTAGTTATATACTTATCTTAAAAAGGAGTACTACTTCTAAAGCTCAACTTTCTCTTAGTAGTTCTTGTATTGCACTTTTAGCTGTGAAGCCAGATTATATTATAAAAACACTTGCATTGTAATTATAGCTTCAGAGCATTCATATAATTTATAAAGTCCTTGTACTGTTACTACAACATGAAGTCTAAATACATTTTTGGTAGTTCTTGCATTGTCATTGCAGCTGCAAAGCTTATAAATACCTACTATATTCTATAGAATGACAAAAAACATGCTATCATATCACTATTTTCAAAAAGAAAATAGAAAATAAAAAAAAAAATAGAGACAGCCTTTCTACAAAGCAAGTGATAGTAAAAAGAAAGATAACCTTCTATAACAACAACTACAGCTTTAAATATCTCTCACTAATAAGAAGTCATCAATTTTCTGTTCTTTTGATTTTATGACTATAACTATATAATTTACTTCTGAACTAATACTGCCTATTATAAGCATATTAATATGCAATCATAAAATTATTATAAAAAAACTTGCATCTAACAAGAACTATTAGACAACAGCTAATATTCTACAATCAGTCATACAAAATTTAACATATGAAGATCATAGATCCTTTACCCTCACAATAATAATTACCTTGTCACTTAGTTAACAAAATTCTTAGTCAATCAATTGCACATTTACTAACACTTATATTATAGATACAACATTTTATTAACAATCAATTCACCAACATGTTTATTTTACTAATATGTTTATTTTACTAACAATCAATTTATTGTCAAGTTTATTATATCACAAATCTAGTATAATTACCAAGATTAGTTATATACAGAGTTTCAATGATTAATATAATAATTACTATATTATATATTAATACATTAATAATCTAAAAAAAAGAAACATTTGATTTCTTTTTTCTATACTTAATATCAAATAATTTTTTTTTTGCTATATATTACAAATTAACAATAAAAAGATCTGTATTAAATAGTTAAAAGAGTCATAATTTAGAAAATACAAAAAATGGAAATTTTTTAAAATATAGAAAATCTTAATATGTATACTGTTAAAAACAAAAAACATTAATTGATAATAAGCAGTATATATTTTTTATTCTTATTATTTAATAATCAGTTTTTTTTATTGATCTTTTTAAAGAATAGATATTTATTTCTTTAAAAATATATTTATTTATTATGCTTATTAATTAAAATTCTAATAGTTTAGATTCAATAAATTTTATTCTTCTCTTGAGTGTTAGTAAAATAAGAAGAACTATATTTATAGTAGTATCAAATTTAAAATTAACATGATATTTAAATTTATTAATTATTATATCAACTTGAATTATATTTGGAATTCTATTTTGATCTGAGCTAATTTTAAATTCACTATAATTTCATTTCAATATATACATATATATAATAAATTAAATTAGTATAAAATTAAAATTAAATTTTAGATTAGATAAAAATTTATATTAGAAATAGTATATATTATTTTATTAATATCAACTTATTTAAATTAGACAATTATATTGATATTTATAAAAATTAACAATAGCAGAATAGTTTTTATATAGCCTGAGTTTATTTTTTCTTAATAAAAGGTTGATATGAATAAAAGTAATCTACAATTAAAACTATTTTGAAATCCATTTCTGATCATCAGTAGATATGTTTTTAAATAATAATATTATATTTATAAATATAATTATTATTATTTATATTTTTTTAAAAAATACATATTTTTGGATTTTATAATTATAATTTTTTTAACAAAATATATTTTAAATTTTGTTTATCATATTAATAATTTAGTTTACTAATAATTTAATTTATTTATATAGTATAAAATAATAATATAATTACTATATTTGATTTTATTAGTATTAAAATACAAAACAATTAATTTATTTTTATTTTTATATTTTAATTATTTAGTAAAATGAGCTCTAGTGAAGAAAATACTAGTACATTTACTTCTGTTATTAGAAAAGATAAAAAACATTCTGGTAGTTGTTCAAATGGCTCTGTTTGGGATTATTTTACTAAAGATGAAAAACTAGGAAAAGAAATATATAAAACAACTTGTAATTTTTGTAGAACATTTTTAAATAGTAATAAACCAAATAAATTAGAAAGTTATTTAGCTAATCATTGTTTAAAGGCAAATTCAAAAACTATTAGATATTTATTTTCAAAAATTTTTTCTAATAATTCTGAAAAAAATAAATTAAATAAAAAAAGAAAAGGTAATATTTATAGAAAACTTGATTAATATGTTAATATAATAGAATTAGTTCAACAAAAAATTAAAAGAATTAATCTTACTTGGACTAGAGCTTTTGCTATTTGTGGAATTTCATAGAATATAATTGAAAATTCTTTTTTATTGAAACTTTAAAAAAACTAATTTATCTTATAAATCACCAACATATCAATTTTTATTAAGTCATTTATTAGAAAAACAATTAGCTCCTATTAATCAAAAAACTAATAAAATATTTTAACAATATTCAAATTTAACATTAGGTAAATATAATTTTTATTTTATTTTTCAAATTAAATATATTATAATTAATATAATTTAATTTAGTATTAGATGATTGAACTAATAAAAAAAATATTTAATTTGAAATTTTATAATTATTATACTTAAACATAAAGAATATTTATATAAAATTGGTAATTATTCAGATAAAAAATATACAGAAGAATTTTTAGTTGATAAAATTAATAAAGTTTTAGATTTTATTAGAGCAGTTCATTTTACAGCTATAGTTAGTAATAATAGAACTAATGTAAAACTTGCATAAAATATTATTTCTTTACAATTTCTACATATTTTTAGTATAAGATGTATAGCTCATGCATTGAATTTAGTTGTACAAGATATTTTAAATTTTGAATAGACAGATAAATTAATTAAAAAATGTAATATTTTATATAATTTTTTTAAATCTTCACATCAAGCAGATATAAAGCTTATTATATTTATATACTTTTTATTGATAACTTTTAATTTATTATAATAATTATTTTTTATTTATTAAAGGAGCTAAACTAAGATTATTAATAGATCAAATGAATATAACTGAAGGAAGTCTTAAAAATTATTCTAAAACTAGATAAACAACAGCAAGTAAAACAATTGAAAGTATTTTAAATTTAGAAAAAGTTTTAAAAAAGATAATAAATTAAATTTATAAAATATTATTAATTATTTATTAATTATTATTTTTTTTAGATTGTTGATGATAATATATTAACAAATAATCAAGTTAATAATATTATTAATTGTTATGATTTTTTTATTCATCTAGAAATACTTAAATTTGTATTATTATCTTTAAAAAAATCAATTTTATTATTAGTACTTTGCAGAAACTTCAAATTTTGCTAAATATATTTATAATATAATTATTATTTTTTTTTTTAACTCTTTGGCAGCCTTGCCAAGATCCTTTATTAAGAGAATTGCATACATGATTATACAAATATT